TACATGAGAAATACATTTATCAGCCTCTGACAACGTGTAAATGTAAACTTAACTCTTACAAGGTGAATGTCTCCTGGGAAGAATGTCTAAAACATGTACACAGAAATTTCATTTTTATGTGAATGAATGATTGACAAGAACCAGCCTTGACTCTGTGTGATGGATGAAAATGTTTTGGCAATTCCTGTGGAGTTTTTCTTATTGTTATGAGCAAAAAAATGAAAGTAAAGGTTAACCATTGTGAGACTTCCAGTAGATTTAAACTTGGTGAAGAAATGTTATGTATCCACGTTTTTTCTCCTGAAATTCTATAGGACAAGAGTTTGTCTGAAGTGGACACGTTAAAAACATTTCCTGGATTACGGTTCTTTCTGTAATCACTTATAATCAACAGAAATGGTTCCATGTTACAAATCCATTATTGGCATATTTTTTCCATACCACTTTAACATGCTTAGTTTGAGAACCCAAGGTACTTTTTCCATTTAACTTCAGTTGTTAACAATATAAGGGAAGGGCTTTTAATTTTTATTTGTATGCTGAACCAGAGAAGATATTTAAGCTCTTTAAAGAAATATAAAGTGTGGGATATTCTCCAGCGGCCATATTAGTCCAATACATTTGAACTGAGGGAGACAGTATAATGGCCCTGTTCTCAGTTATGTAATCACGTCATGTCGCTGGAGTTGATTATCTTGTTATACAGATTACATGGGTACTCGGGATAATGGCTTCCTGCACTTTTATACAAAAGTACAACTTTCTGGAGGAAGCAGCAGTATTTTTTCTTATTGTCAAAGCACGAGGTGTTTTTCTACGATCTGTCCAATCTTGGGCCAGATTTGGTTTTCCTTTCTTGACATACTTGATTGGCAGTTGGATGTCGGCAGTTTTTGCTTGATTTCATTGGCAAAATGTATCAGTTGGAGTCTGGGTACAAACATGGATGGTAAAGTAATTACGAAAGGGGAATTTTTTTCTTAGGCGGAGTTGTAGAGTTTCCTTTCCTCTGTGCAAGGAAGGAGGTTTTAACGATGGGATTTAGCCGTGCACCTGTTTGTTTTGGTGTGGATAGGGGTGCACTACCCTTGATTCCTGTGGTCTTTTCTCCAGCGTGATACCGATACCTAGCTGGAATGTTTTTCTAGTGATAAGCTCCCCCCTCTTAGATTGCTGGACAGTTGCTGGGAGTTAAATGATCGTAAATCCGGCTCCACTGCCTTCGCTGGGACTGTCAGACTAGTACGTTATGGATTGATATAGCACACGGTTAGTGCTTAATTTATGGGAAATATATCACAGGAAAAAACATCACAGGTCGGCTGCCTTTATATTAGGCAGAAAGAAACTTGGTTGGAAGTGCACCTGAGTCTAACCATGTTATTTGAGATAGTGTAAACAGATTAGTGAATTTAGTAATTTACGGCCTCATGCTTATCAGAATTCAAAAACTGTGTAGAATTTTATCTCAGGTGTGTAAGTGGGCTATAAATGTACATTATATATGTGAGAGCTATTAAAAGATAAGATTTTAAATGTTTCTTTCTGAACTTGTCTCTTTAACTTGTCAGTGATACACTAACTTTTCTGCTTGTCGATTTCATGTTCTGTCAGATTTAACAGTCTGCAGATGACCTTGAGATTGTCTCTGACAGTCCCACTGCCAATCACGGACTAAATCATCACAGGAAAGATACTCTCTGGCTTTTGTACAAGTTCAAATTGACAGATCCAGAAAGAATCAGACACATGTGAATGATATGGCTGTTTTATTGTCATAATGTTGGATGTAGGTAGTCACAAACACAGAAAATCACTGACTCCAATCCAAATCACAAACACAGATAGAGACAATTACTGGTGACTCTCAAACATGTCCAGACATTACTGATAAACTAACATTGTGAATGAGTGAGTGTGGATTTATGCCACACTTAGTTATGAGACAATCGCAGAGTAACAACTGAACAGAGAATCACTGCCTCACAAACACAAGCAGAAACAATCACTGTCTCACAAATACAAATAGACAATCATTCTCACAGAGACAGTCACTGTCTCACAAACACAAATAGAAACAATCACTGCCTCACAAACACTAGCAGAAACAGTCACTGCCTCACAAACACAAGCAGAAACAGTCACTGCCTCACAAACACTAGCAGAAACAGTCACTGTCTCACAAATACAAATAGCCAATCATTCTCACAGAGACAGTCACTGTCTCACAAACACAAGCAGAAACAATCACTGTCTCACAAATACAAATAGACAATCACTGCCTCACAAACACAAATAGAGAATCATTCTCACAGAGACAGTCACTGTCTCACAAACACAAGCAGAAACAATCACTGCCTCACAAACACTAGCAAAAACAGTCACTGCCTCACAAACACAAGCAGAAACAGTCACTGCCTCACAAACACTAGCAGAAACAATCACTGCCTCACAAACACTAGCAGAAACAGTCACTGCCTCACAAACACAAGCAGAAACAGTCACTGCCTCACAAACACTAGCAGAAACAATCACTGCCTCACAAACACAAGCAGAGACAGTCACTGTTTCACAAACACAAGGAGAGACAATCACTGTCTCACAAACACAAGCAGAGACAATCACTGTCTCACAAACACAAGCAGAGACAATCACTGTCTCCCCAACACAAGCAGAAACAATCACTGTCTCCCCAACACAAGCAGAAACAGTCACTGTCTCACAAACACAAGCAGAGACAATCACTGCCTCACAAACACTAGCAGAAACAATCACTGTCTCACTAACACAAGCAGAAACAATCACTGTCTCCCCAACACAAGCAGAAACAGTCACTGTCTCACAAACACAAGCAGAGACAATCACTGTCTCACAAACACAAGCAGAAACAATCACTGTCTCACAAGTACAAATAGACAATACTTCTCACAGACAGTTACTGTCTAACAAACACAAGCAGAAACAGTCACTGTCTCACAAACACAAGCAAAAACAGTCTCAGTCCCACAAACACAAGCAGAAACAGTCACTGTCTCACATACACAAGTAGAAACAATCACTGCCTCACAAACACTAGCAGAAACAGTCACTGCCTCACAAACACTAGCAGAAACAGTTACTGCCTCACACAAGTACAAATAGACAATCATTCTCACAGAGACAGTTACTGTCTAACAAACACAAGCAGAAAAAGTCAGTCTCACAAACACAAGCAGAAACAGTCACTGTCTCACAAACACAAGTAGAAACAATCACTGCCTCACAAACACTAGCAGAAACAGTCACTGCCTTACAAACACAAGCAGAAAAAGTCTCTGTCTCACAAACACAAGCAGAAACAATCACTGCCTCACAAACACTAGCAGAAACAGTCACTGCCTCACAAACACTAAGCAGAGACAGTCACTGTCTCACAAACACAAGCAGAGACAATCACTGTCTCACAAACACAAGCAGAAACAGTCACTGCCTCACAAACACTAGCAGAGACAATCACTGTCTCACAAACACAAGCAGAAACAATCACTGTCTCACAAGTACAAATAGGCAATCATTCTCACAGAGACAGTTACTGACTCACAAACACAGAGACAATCAATTAATCTCAAGTTGAGACAGAGACTATCATTCTCACAGAGACAGTTACTGTCTCACAAACGCAAAAAAACAATCACTGTCTCAAACACAGAGACAATCACCGACTCACAAGTAGAGATAGAGACTATCATTCTCACAGATAGTTACTGTCTCACAAACACAAGCTGGGACAATCATTGACTCACAAACACAAGCAGAGACAATCACTGTCTCACAAACACAGAGGCAATCAAATTCACAAATACTGACACTGTTGGAGACATTAGATTTAGACAAAGATGGAGACAATCAAATAGAGACAGATGTTCTTCAACATTGAATGAACGAAGACTTCTTAGTCTTGGACAATCTTGCATAGAGTTGGTCAATGTTGTGGATGATCTTAGATTCTATATATTATATTCATAAGGGGCGCTCTTCCACAGGGGTTTTACCATTGCAGTAATTTAACCATTGGGAGTGAGAGAGGGAGTATGGTTTTACACCGCGTTTAGCAATATTCCAGCAATATCATGGGGGTCTTCTTGTTCACCCAGCAGCTTAGGGGGATTAACAGTTATGCTTGCTTGATTGTGCAAATACTGTTCATCCCTGTGAGATATGGTCCAGTAAGCTGGGGTGGGGGTGGGGGTCCAGATTCAATTATTTACAGACCGCCGCCATAAAGCCATAATATTGCTGAGTGAGGCTTTAAACAACAAACCAACCAACCCTTTTGTAATTGGGACCTGTTATCATATTTATTACTATGTAACCTAACTTGCAAAATTTGATGCCATATTTGAGAATTTTTACAGATATTTATCGTAGACAATTCATCACAGCCTACCCAGATAAATTCACTAGGATTCTCACACATTTACAGGTACAGACAGAATGTGTTAAAGATAGGACATAGCAACCAAAATATTTTAACGGAATCACAATAAAACAGCTTAAATGAAAGTAACCTATATTAGCAAATTAGACACAAAGATCTTCAACTTTTATATAATGAAGCCCCCAGCCCTCCACGTGAACATCCATGCAAACACCATCTGGCCAAAACATCCTTCAGAAATACCAGAAAATATTTACTATCAACTATTATCTGAATCCTTTTACACTGTGGGCTCGGTGGGGGGAGTAAGTCAACAGATCAGACCTCGCTTTTGTCCCCAGCTGATATTGCTCCATTGCAAAACATTTTCGTTTCTGACACTTTCCTCACTTTCAAGGGCAGACCTGATGTGATAATGCTGTATGATAACTGTCCCGGGGCCTCTGATTGGCCGACTCCAGTGACGCTGGACTCCATGTAGACTCCATAATGGTCACTCTATCTGCTCGCTGTGTCATTGTACCAGTGGGGCACATTTTAATTGATATCTGCTTTATCTTCTTCCTGATCTTTTGTTTTTCAGCCCCCAGGAAACCCAGAGGGGAGTCAAGGTGGGAAGGTGTGAGCGGTAAAAAGATCGAGGAAGTTGTGGAGATGCGAGACATTGGAAGAAAAAAATATCAAGCTTTTCTGTTACTGCAAGATACTGCTTCTATTTACCAGTAAATATTTTCCTATTTCTTATACCAGTCTGTTTGATAAACAATGATAATGCTTGTAGCCATGACGTTATCACCTAAAGGTAACAAGACTGTTGATATAAGAGACTGGTATCTCTGTGAACATGTCATATTTTGTGTATTACTTTATATCATTTGTGATGAGACAAAAACTAGCGAATCAAGTTACTGGGCACTTTTATCATGAATCAGGTTTAAGGTTTGTAAATGTGTTGACATTATCTGTAGCGACAGAGGCATCGGGTTACGCATGCCCAGAGGCACTTTCAGATTATCTCAGTTTTGTAGATGCCAATCTTGTTTACAACTTGTGCCTTCAAGCTTTGAATAAATTGTTTGCGTCATTCCAACGTGGGTAGATCAACAGGAAATCTGTAAGGTTATGTGAAAACTTCTGTAACAACAACTTTTGATTCATGTAAAGGTTAATACATGGTTAATCATATTGAACCAAGGTCAAGGTTGCAGTGATGTTTGAACTTACATGTACAAGATGTTCAGGTTCAGCTGAAACATTCATTAAAATTCTTCTTGCTCCAGTTCACTAGATCTAGACCTTTCATTGATTGGCTGATCTATAATCAACAAATTAAAAAAAGTATGAAATATATATAGCAAATATCTAACTGTTTCATAAAAACTGCGTCAAATGAGTGTAGATCAAGTAGTGATGGGAATATTCCTCCGGGTATAAACTGTATTTCACAATAGGCTTGTGTTATTGAAATATTTCATGAGGTGTTTTTATCAGATTAAGCCTCATTATCACTGTTTTTATTATCATTATTTATGAATAAATGAAACTCGGTATCAGTTCAGCAGGTACTTTCAAGGTGTAAAATGTTGGTGTGACTCTCTCACTGCAGCTGTGTGTAGACAGACGATTGACAGGCACATCATACTGGTGACAGCCCTTACAAAGAAACAAAGATCCACACCTTTGCTAGTTATTCTTTACGTGTTTTTCCAAGTATCATAGCCTTGATCTGATTCAGGATGAAAATAGCCTACAAAGTCACAATGGTTGTTTAAAAACAAACATATTGTCCTTGAGAAGTGCTTCAAAAAGTGTGTATTCTGATCATTTCTTTATGACTTTTGTCGGCAAATGTGTGCTAATTACATGTATGTGAACACTGCATGTTTGTGTTCATGTGCAGCCAGGACTTATGTGCCAGAGAGCCTGTTGTATAATGTGCCCAGTGAATAATCATTGAAATAAAGTGTGCTCTTCATTAACCTGTGATACAAAGCTTATGCCTGTGCATGTAGTGATGTTTTGAATGTTGTGTCCTGAAAAACGCTACTGCAGCAAACACTGACAGCAAAGTCCTGGTTGTGTGTTACAGCTCGACTCAACTGCTGGAAGCTTTAAGGAAGGCTCCCTGGGAGGTTTCTCAGTCTCATTCCTAGACTAATGCTTAGTCTCGGAATATGTATAGTTGTGACAGAATAATTCCTGTTAGATTGAAAAGGAGCCTTAGATGGGAGATTCAGAAGCTGAGGAACTTTATACTTGGTTCATTTAGGGTTTAGCATTTCAGAAAGGGCTGGGCGGAAGGGAAAATATGCAGTTCAGGGACTGTGTGACACATCCCATCATCTACATCAACGGGTTAATTTTATCAGACATTTAAGATTGCTCTGTCAGTCTGTGTTTTAAACTACTTATGTGAGACCCTTGTCTAGTAACAGTTTGGTTGGTCTAAAAAGCACATGTACAGGTTGTAATAGTCCTTTATTTACACTAAATTCCTAATAGAATGATGACAATAGCGTTTGTGCTATATTTGCCCCGATGTTTCAGGCACAAATTGATTAAGGATTATGATTGTGAATGGTTGGTTTGTTTCAAGAAAACATGTAAATTGTTGTTAATTTTGTCTTTTTCTCAAAGTTATGTGTTGAATAAATGATTTATACAATGAATTAAAATAATGAAAAACTTAATGAAAATATGTGATTTTGGCACGTATATGAGAAAAATATTTTAAACTTGATCAAAGATTTGTTGAGTATTTTGATTGAACAAAATTAATTTTTCTGCAAAATCAATTATCTGCTTACAACTAGTCACTGCATCAGTGCAGGGTAGCTGATACTAACTATGATCCAGTATTGGAGAATCCTTTCTGAGGAGGAGGAAGACACATTCCAGCGTGTCAGTAACACAGAAAACAACTAAACAGATCAATGCTCATGACGTCAGTCACTGGATTGTCTGGTCACGACTCGGTTATTTACAGTCTCCAGTTATGTAGCTGGAATATTTTCTGGAAACTAAGTGTGATATACTGTACATGTACTGTATTTATGTGCTAAATGCATCCTATGTATGTGAAAGGCTCTCATTGTGGGTAGTTCACAACACTTTCTACTGTTTCCTTATATTGACATGGCTACAGTGATTACTTGCAAGCTGCCTTTTTTGTGTATGCTGTGTAGTACTCCCCTACTCTGGTTTACAGATTCTTGACTACTGTATGACAGATCAATTTATGCATACATTTATGGTTGTATATGATTGTAGCATTTGGTTCACCAATAAGATACACTCTGTTAACCAAGTGTCTTGCTTCAGTAATTTTGTCAATGAGGCGAGATTGTGTTCCTTAGGTCTCATACACTGTATACTAGATTATGGTAATAATAAACGCATGAATGATAGCATTTCTTTACTTTCTTTAGATAACATTTTGTTCTTTTATATGTTTCAGTATTCATTTCGAAGATTTAGTGCTCATTAAAATATTTACATGCCCATAATGATTAAGCAAATTTTGTACACTTTTTTACTTCTCACAGATGTTCTAGGCCAATAAACCAAAAAGCATCTTCAAGAAGAGATACTTTTAATGGTTTTTGTTGGTGAAGTACATCTTAAAGCATGCAAGTTCTTAATGAAAGAATTCAGAATTTATCTTTTTTAATATTCTGAGCACCATAAGGTTTGTTATTTCATTTTCTTGAACACGTTCTCTGTGGCATGTTTGACAGACACACATGAAATATGACAAGGGTATCAGCGAGCATGTCCTAACACATGTGGGATGGTAGGTAAGAAACGATACTATAGGTTTAGTTTATTTTCAGTGACTACAAAGTTAACTTTAAGAATTTGACCTGTTAGTGTATTTCCTTTTCTATCCCTTGGGTTTGGAATTTTAGGTCGTAAAATCCCTGTCCATACCTGTCTAGGGGCGGTGGGGTAGCCTAAGGGTTAAAGTGTTCGCTTGTCATGCAGAAGACCCGGGTTTGATTCCCCACATGGGTACAATGTGTGAAGCGCATTTCTGGTGTCCCCTGCTGTGATATTCCTTGAATATTGCTAAAAGCAGTGTAAAACTAAACTCACTCACTCTCTCCATACCTGTCTATACCTACCCTTGAAGATTCAGGTCTGAATTCCTCTTCAGCATCTCATATCAGAGGGGTCAGCATCGCTGACATGGTAGATATGTGTTACTGTATTCAAGCTGCGTAGACAGATACTCATGATGTCAATCACTGTATTGTCTGGTCCAGATTGGATTTACAGACAGGTTGTGTATTCCAGCTATATGGTGGCAGTCTATAACTAATCAAAGTCTGGACCAAGGATGTAGGGCTGGGACAGGTAGGAAAAAGTGGAATCAAGTACCCGCATGTACTTACCCGAATCGGAATCGAGTACCCGGAAATGTAAGGAACACAACGCTTCTGTCAACTTTCTGAATATTCAATCACGAGTTGACAGAGATTATTATAGAAAATTCGAAAGGATGGCAATAAGACATTAAAACAGATCTTAGGCTTTTTAATTTACGTCTGTTAAACCAATATAAAGAGTAACACCATTACTTACATTCATCGGTAAAACACAGAACCTTTCGTTCCCGCTGTTACCGTAACTTTCACTACTCACTGCTCATGCGCAGATAAATTACAGTCGTTAATAATAACCTTCATATCATTAATCGGACAACACCAATGATGTAAATGAGAGTTCCCTCCCTTCCCGGGTACTCGATTCCAAGAAATAGGACTCGATTCCAGCTGTACCCGACCCGGATTCGAGTACCCGAGTACCCGTCCCAGCCCTACAAGGATGAGGACTATTTTTATGGATATACAACTTCTTTATTCTGTATAGGCAACGTTTCGACATAGATTCTAATGTCGTTGTCAAGCAAGTGACTTGAAAACGACATTAGAATCTGTCGAAATGTCGCCTATACAGAATAAAGAAGTTGTATATCCATAAAAATAGTCCTCATCCTTCATCTACCCAACTTCTAGAATGCCAATCAAAAAAGTCTGGACCAGACAATCCAGTGATAAACTATCATCAATTGGGATGCCATGACATGTGTTTATTGGTATAGAAGCTGCATGGAATTAATGTGGATTTGTACTTGGTAACATTACCCTCATCTTAGCCTGTTCTTTCATACATATACGACTTATCATCTTGCCAACATCCCTTTGGTAGCAAAAATGATTTTAATAGCATGAAGCATTCTATCAAGCAAGCCATCCTTTGATAAAACTATGATAAAACACGTTCACTAGAATGCTATGAAGCCAACTGCTGCCGTGCTGATGCACTGGAACGGATCTGCAGGTTCCCTGCACACCAGCTGCAATTCTGTAGGATAAAATTGCAAAAATATTGAAAAGTGTTTTGTCTTTTTTGTGAAGTGGATGTGACATTGCCTTTGATGTTGCTCTTGAAAGAAACTGCCATGCCAAGAAATGATGATAACTGAAGTTCAGCATCTGTTGGAGGTGACACAAGGCTAAATGAAATGTCTTATTGCATTTTCTATGGCTTAGCAAAGCCTGAGTGCTTGTGATGATGGTAGGTGTTTCTTGAAGTCGTTGAGTGTAAACTGGCAATGCATACCAAACCTGTCTCTTATGTTTACCTGATGTTGGGAGTGGTTATAACATATACTACGTAAAGTCATCACTCTAGGGGGCGTGGTGGGCGAGCTGGCTAAGGCGCAAGGCTAGTGATCCAGCGAGGTTGAGGTGTCGGGATCGAGCCCACCTGTGACCTGGTGTAAAAACCTTGGAGTCAACTTTGTGTGCAGACTCTTTCAGTGTTGTCACAACCCCTAGTGTACAGTACACAACCCTGTGCACTTAAAAGAACCAACGAATCCATTGGTATTTGACCAGATGGTGGCCACATGAATACGTACAAACACCTAGTTGCGGGTACAGCAACGTGCAGTGAACATGGACAAAGTACTGTGACTATGTGTCCGAGTCCACCCAGCTGTGAATGGCTACCTCGTTAGGATGAGAAAACCACAATAACTCGGTGCGCCTAGTGGCTGCAAGAGTTGTATACTCCCCAGGGAGTTGAGATTGATAAAGCTATGTTGAGATTGACATCCAATGATCGAGGGAAAAAATAACAGCGCCTTGCGCATGCACTAGTGCGTGGATATGTGCGCTATATAAATATCCTATAATAATAAAATAATAATCACTCTGAATTGCTGCGCTTTATAAATGCATGTATTGTTTTTATTATTATTATGTTTTACAGATTAAAGATAGTATGCAGCAGAGAGGGTTCGGGTGATCCTGGCACAGTCAGGCTGGTAAGGCTCATCATCAGCTCAGGGCCCTTGCCCACTCTACACGCAGCCCAGACAGCGAATGGGACTTCTCCCAGGAAACGCTGCCTCGTCGAACCCACCAAGAACTTTCCGGAGAATATGAAGGCTCCCCAACACTGCAGCCTTCTGCATTACCCAGAGTGTCAGAAGGGCTGTACTCCCGGTGGAGAACCCGGGCACTCTCCTGATCTGCGCCAAGAGATCAGGAGGTACCAAACCAAGGGCACCGAGATGCAAGCGAGACATTTCAAAGGCGAGGTCCGCATATTTATCATGCTTTTCCCGAATCTTGCCAATCACATTGGTGTCAAAAGGGACAGAAAATTCAATGATATAAATAAATTCATTGGCTTTATCAAAAAGGACAAGATCAGGTTTGTTGGCAGGAATTCTTCTGAGGCTGTATATGGGCCTATTCCACAGAAGTTTGAAAGCATCATTTTCCATGACGCCCTGGACATGTTCAGGGTCGTACCATGGATGGACCTCGGAGTCAAAGCCACAGGCATGTCGGAGACGGTAGTAAAAGCAACGAGCCATGCCATCATGTCGTTTAAGATATGCTGTTTGTGCCAAGGAAGGGCATCCACTGACAAGGTGTTGGACAGTCTCTGTAAATTCATTGCAAAGTCGACATTTCATGTTAATATTCTCTTTAAGAATCACATTTAGGCGATTACGAGTGGGAAGTGACTGGTCCTGAGCAGCAAAAAGGAAGCCCTCAGTTTCACATTTAAGACCAGCTGACTTCATCCAGGCGAAGGAGTCGGTGGGATTGCTATTCTGTTCAACACACTGCATGTACACACGATGCAATGGCTTCTCAGAAAGCTTCTCCACAAACGACCGACTCTGGGCAGACTTGGTAAAGGACTTCACCTGGTTTTACCTTACTCCCATCGCTGTACCATCCAGCAGTACATTGCCATCAGCAAAGTCAACCTCAAATCTCAGATTCTGTCCAACAACCTTGGCACGCTTAAAATAACTGTGGAATTCCTTGCTTTCATCATGAGTCTTCACATGCATCACCAGAGGATCATCCGATAAATAAATATGTGCAAAAGTACACAATAAAATTCTGTCATGAAGAGCCTCCACATTAATCAAACCCCGACCTCCAGAATTGATTGGCATGTATAAACGGTTAAGAGAGGAACGAGGGTGGTGGGCTCTGTTATCAGACATGATCCTTCTGGTCAGACGGTCAAGACTCTGGATGTCTTGTTTTGTCCAATCAACTACTCCAAAGGAATAGGAGAGGACTGGCACAGCAAAAGTATTGGTGGCTTTGACCTTGTTTCGAGCATTTAGCTCTGAGCTCCAGATTTTCTTTAAACGAGATTTATACTCAGCCCGAAGTTTTTCTTGAATCTGGGCATTCTGGAGCTTGTCTCGAACTTGCATTCCAAGATAGGTGTAGGCCTGATCTTCCACAAGATGCTCAATAACTCCTCCCCCTTGTAACCTGACCGATCCATCATTAGTTACCTTGCCACGTTTCAAATGAAGAGTATTACATTTGTCGAGTCCAAATGTCATGCCAATATCATTAGAAAAGGACTCGACAAGGAGAACCTGCTCTTTCAAATTGGAATCTCCTTTGGCAAGGAGTTCGATGTCATCCATGTAAAGGAGATGAGTAAGAGGTGTTGGGGATCTGTGCTGAGGAGGTCCGGGATGGTAACCCTCCTCTTTATTGAGCAGAAAGCTCAAAGGATTTAGAGAAAGACAAAAAAGCAAAGGACTAAAGGAATCCCTGAAATATTCCCTTCTGATTGGAATAGATTCCGAAGTCTGAACCTGCCCTTGTGAGTACATCTCAAGTTGAGTCGACCAGCAACTCATCAAAGACTTGAGTAAATCAAGTAGTCGCTCAGGGAGGTCAATACAATGAAGAGACTTCAGAATCCATTCGTGAGGGACAGAGTCGTATGCTTTTTTGTAGTCAATCCAGCACATGGAGAGGTTGCGGTGATAAGTTTTAGCCTCTTCCAAAATCATTTTCTGTACAAGAAGTTGATCCTTGCACCCCCAACATCCCTTTCTTGCTCC